AAAAAAAGGAAAAGAGGCTTTGGATTAACTCTATGGAATGTTCGATCTATCGTTTTTAAATATCTTTTGAAACTTTTTGAAATTTTTCATTTTAAAGAATATTCTATTAGAGATTATATATATATATAGAAAATATTTATTAATAAAGATATAGATTTTTTTAAAATCGTTGTTCGAGGTGTTAATTAACTGATAATCGAAGAAAAAAGAAATCTCGAATGGAATGTTATTTTTCAGTCGAGAAAGTAAATTTTTCTTTGCTTATGAAAAAAAGCAAATTATAAGCGATATGAAAATAGAATGAAATGATAGTTGAAAACATGAATACGTAGGCAGTTTCATCGTGTTAAACAGTTAAAGTCCTCTTTTTAGTATCACGATAGCTTGCTACTTCGGTAAAGCTAATAGAAAGGGGGATAAATAGGCTGCCAGTCAATAAGCGCTACTGAAAAGCAGCCTGTTAATGGGTTTTCAGGTAGCAAACTGTTTTAAGAATCCATTTTAACCGGAAATTATTGTATTATGTTGCTGAAATAAAAATAGCAAAGAAGATAGTAGATATTTTACATGATAAATTAATGGTCGAGTATTATGAATATCGTTGCGGGTATTGCAAAATCTTGCAAATTTAAACTCACGACGATTAACTTTTATTTTCGATGATAATCTCAGTTCTCGAAACGTTCTTTTTAATGACCAGAACATAAGATATTCATGGGAATTTTGTACAAATAATTGTCGAGAGCAATGATAAAATCCATTGACTTCAGATAGATTAGCAATAATTGGAAGCTAATTATAAAAATTATTGTATGCAAATTTTTCGAAAACAAAGTTCTTCCATGCATCCTTTTTTTTATCTGATTAATTTGATACGACAGAATGGCTTAATAGAAGTACTATAAAATTCACGCACGATCCATAATTCATTCCAAACAGCAAAATCCCTGTTAAAGAATAAGTGTTGTAAGATTTTTTAATTTACAATTCGAAAACATAATTTCGAAACGCTCGATTCCCTCTTACAACTGAAAAAGTTAAAAATAATTTTTTTTCTGATTCATTTCGCGAAGAATAATCGAAACCATATAAAAAAAAAATAAAAAAACACTTCATAATGCAGAGATACCCGCTTAAGCTTCTGTAAATCAGATGCGCAGATTATCGCTGTATCCTTTCCTCGAATCTGAACGGAGAGAAAGAAGCATGGTGGACGATTGGACGAACGTTCATCCGCGAAAAGAAGGGGACATTTATCCGTGGAATACCACATGTTGCCCCGTCTCGGTTTCTCTCCTGTTATCTTTGAGAATCGATACCGCCAATCGAGGAACCCGTTTCCACATATCTCGGGGACGGTGTTTTCACGGGGGTCCAAGATCGATCTCGAGATCGCCCATCGTGGATCGTGAGAGGCGGTTCGACGCGCAGAATCTGTTACAGGGTTCGCAAGAACGTCGCAGCAAAAACGAGAAAAGCGGCTG